GAATTTGGGGATTTATGGGGACTTTGGGGAATTCTGGAAATTCTGGGAATCGCGGGAATTTTGGGAGTTCGGAGATTTTGGGAATTCTGGGATTTCCAGGAATTTTGGGATTTCTAGGAATTCCATGCATTTTGGGAATTCTGGGATTTCTGGGAATTTTGGGATTTGTGGGAATTTTGTGAGTTCTGAGATTTTGGTATTTCTGTGAACTGTGGGAATGTTGAGATTTTCAAAATTCCATGAATTTTGATAATTCTGGGAATTTTGGGAATTTCTGGATGTTTCCCCCCGGCCCAGCTGAGTTTCGAGGCGCACCCCGAGCCCGGCGCTGCCGTGACGCAGATGGTGCGGGCGGGCAGCGGGGTCTGGATGGCCTTCGACAGCGGCTCCTCCCTGCGCCTGTTCCACACCGAGACCCGKGAGCTGCTGCAGGAGATCAACCTGGCCACCAGGACCACCCAGATACTGCCCGGTGAGGGTTAATTAACAGTTAATTAATGATTGGTCAATGGGGTAATGAATGAACGGGGTGATCAGTGAGAGCTGGGCCTCCTGTCCCTATTCCACACCGAGACCCGTGAGCTGCTGCAGGAGATCAACCTGGCCACCAGGACCACCCAGATACTGCCCGGTGAGGGTTAATTAACGGTTAATTAATGATTGATTAATGATTGATTAATGGGGTGATGGTCAATGAATGAACGGGGTAATCAATGAGAGCCGGGCCCCCTGTCCCTGTTCCACACCGAGACCCGTGAGCTGCTCCAGGAGATCAACTCGGCCACCAGGACAGCACAGATACTGCCTGATGAGGGTTAATTAATGGTTGATTAATTAATTAATGAGATCAACTTGGCCACCAGGACCACCTAGATACTGCCCGGTGAGGGTTAATTAACAGTTAATTAATTAATTAATGAGATCAACCTGGCCACCAGGACCACCCAGATACTGCCCGGTGAGGGTTAATTAATGGTTAATTAATGATTGATCAGTGGTTAATGGGGTAATCAATGAGAGCCAAGCCCCCTGTCCCTATTCCACACCGAGACCCGTGAGCTGCTGCAGGAGATCAACCTGGCCACCAGGACAGCACAGATACTGCCCGGTGAGGGTTAATTAATGGTTAATTAATTAATGAGATCAACCTGGCCACCAGGACAGCAGAGATACTGCCCGGTGAGGGTTAATTAACGGTTAATTATGAGATCAACCTGGCCACCAGGACAGCACAGATCCTGCCCTGTGAGGGTTAATTAACGGGGTAATTAATTAATTAATGAAATCAACCTGCCCACCAGGACCACCCAGATACTGCCCGCTGAGCCCTAATTAATTGTTAATTAATTAATTAATTAGATCAATGTGGCCACCAGGACTACTCAAATCCTGCCTGGTGAGAGTTAATTAATAATTAGTTAATGGTTAATTAATGAATTAATTAGATTAACATGGCCACCAGGTCTACTCAAATCCTGCCTGGTGAGAATTAATTAATAATCAGTTAATGGTTAATTAATGGAGTAATTAATGAATGAGTGGGGTAATGAACGAGATCAACGTGGCCACCAGGACCACTCAAATCCTGCCTGGTGAGAGTTAATGAATGATCAATTAATGATTAATTAATTGAGCAATTAACGAATGGGGTTGTCAATGAGATCAACGTGGCCACCAGGRCCATCCTGCTGCTCCCTGGTGAGACCTTCATTAATGATTGATTCATTAATTAATTATTGGGTTAATGAATGAGATCAGTGTGGCCACCAGGACCACCCTACTTCTGCCCGATGACAGTTTCGTTCATTAATTAACGATTAATCAATGAATCCTGGGATTTCCCAAGGAACAGGGCGGGGAAGGTGGGAAGGGTTCGGGGCTTTGTGGGTAGAAGGGGCAGAGCTGGGTGGGAATTGTGTCCCTGGATCCCAAATCCCTGTGATCCGAAATCCCCGTGATCCCAAATCCCTGGATCCCAAATCCCTGTGATCCCAAATCCCCATGATCCCAGATCCCTGGATCCCATTCCCGTCCCTCTCTGGGTTATCGCAGCCTCATTTCCTTTCCAGGTCATCCCATCCCATCCCATCCCATCCCATCCCATCCCATCCCATCCCATCCCATCCCATCCCATCCCCTCCCCTCCCCTCCCCTCCGGGTTATCGCGCCCTCATTCCCATCCCACAGCTCCACAATCCTATTATCAGTTCCCAATCCTTGTTTTTCCCCCTTTTCCCCCTTCTCCCCCTTTTCCCCCTTTTTCCCTTTTTCCCCTTTTTCCAGCCCTGTCCCTCCCACCCCATTCCCGCATAGGGAATGTCGGTTTGGGATCCCTTCCCAGCTCCTGCCCCCTCCTCTGGGATGTGGCACCCCATTAACGACTCCTCCTGCAGCCACTTTCCCATGGATTTATCCTTTTCCATGGATTTACCACTTTCCCATGGATTTATTCCTTTCCCATGGATTGATCCTTTTCCCATGGATATATTCCCTTTCCATTATCTCTTTTCCATGGATTTACCCCTTTTCCATGGATTTACCCCATTTCCATGGATTTATCCCTTTTCCATGATCCCTTTCCCATGGATTTACCCCTTTTCCCATGCATTTACCCCTTTCCCATGGATTTATCCTTTCCCATGGATTTATTCCTTTTCCGTGATCTCTTTTACGTGGATTTATCCCTTTCCCATGCATTTATCCCTTTCCCATGGATTGATCCCTTTCCCATGCATTTATCCCTTTCCCATGGATTGATCCCTTTCCCATGGATTGATCCCTTTCCCATGGATTGATCCCTTTTCCGTGATCTCTTTTACATGGATTTATGCCTTTCCCATGAATTTATCCCTTTCCCATGCCTTTATCCCATTCCCATGGGTTGATCCCATTCCCATGGATTTATCCCGTTGCCGTTCTCGCAGGGCAGAAGCAGATCCGGGTGACGAGCTTGCTGATCGTGCCGGGCTCGCTGTGGGTGGGCACGGAGCAGGGCATCATCGTCCTGCTGCCGGTGCCGCGCCTCGAGGGCATCCCCAAAATCACCGGTGAGACCCCAAAAAATACCCCAAGGACTCAGTCCAAAGGGATTCCATTGGCGTCATTCCCAGCCTGATCCCGCTGTTCCCATCCCCAGGGAAGGGCACTGGGGGTCGTTTCCAGCCTGATCCCAATTTTCCCGTTCCCAGAGAAGGGCTTTGGAATCGTTCCCAGGGAAGGGCATTGGGGTCGTTCCCAGCCTGATCCCACTGTCCCCCGAGAAGGGCTTTGGGGTTGTTCCCACCCCAATCCCAGTTTTCCTGTCCCGGGGGAAGGGCTTTGGGGTCATTCCCACCCCAATCACAGTTTTCCCGTTCCCATGGAAGGGCATGGTGGAACAATCCAAATCCCATTTGGGATATTCTCAGCCCAATCCCAATTTTCCAGTTCCCATATAAGGGCTTTGGGGTCATTCCAGTGAAGGACATTGGGTTCATTCCCAGCCCAATCCCACTGTTCCCAGGGAAGGGTATTGGGGTCATTCCCAACCCAATGCTGCCGTCCCCAGGGAAGGGCTTTAAGGTTGTTCCCAGCCTGATCCCGCTGTCCCCATGAAAGGGCTTTGGCGTCATTCCCACCCCAGTCCCCACTGTTCCTGTCCCCAGGGAAGGGCTTTGGGGTCATTCCCAGGGAAGGGCTCTGGGGTTGTTCCCACCCCAATCCCCGCTGTTCCCATTCCCAGGGAAGGGCTTTGGGGTTGTTCCCACCCCAATCCCCGCTGTTCCCATTCCCAGGGAAGGGCTTTGGGGTTGTTCCCACCCCAGTCCGCGCTGTTCCCATCCCAGGGAAGGTCTTTGGGTTCGTTCGCACCCCAATCCCTGTTGTTCCCATTCCCAGGGAAGGGCTTTGGGGTTGTTCCCACCCCAATTCCCGCTGTTCCCATCCCAGGGAAGGTCTTTGGGTTTGTTCCCACCCCAATCCGCGCTGTTCCCATTCCCAGGGAAGGCCATGGTGTCCCTGAACGGCCACGCGGGCCCGGTGCAGTTCCTGGCGCTGGCCCTGAGCACGTGGGCTCCGGACGCRCTGCGGGACGAGCGGGACGAGGCCGACGAGGGCGGGGACGGGGACGAGGCCGATGCCGCGGAGGTGGCRGCGCCGCGGGAGCTGCGCAGGAAGGGCATCGTCCTGCAGTACCGGCTGCGCTCCACCGCCCACCTGCCTGGCCAGCTGCTGTCCGTGCGCCCRGCGCCGCCCGAGGCACCGCCCGGCGCCCACCACGACGAGGAGGAGGAGGAGGAGGACGGCTCCATCTACGAGCTGGCCGGCGACCCCGCCGAGCCCGAGGCGTGGCTGCGCGGCCGGCCCTGCGCCCGCGACTCCGGCCGCAAGGAGATCACCTCGCTGGCCGTGGTGTCCGGCGGCCGCGGGTACCGCGATTTCCGGGCGGAATCGGCGCGGCGCGGCGCCGCCACGGCCGACGGCTCCCTGCTCATCTGGCAGCTGCCGCTGGCGCTGTGAGCCCGGGATCCTGCCCGGCCGGGAATGCTACCTCAGGAATCCCCCGCTCCCGGGARCGGCGCCTCGCCTGCCGGCAGGGAAAATACCCGGGAAGAACACGGGGTTTTCCCCAAAATCCGGCAAAAACAGGAATTGGGAGCGGTTGGGATTCGTTCCTGGTACCGGGATGGGCTCAGTGTGTGTGTGGATGATCCCTAGAGATAGAAATCCCAGGATCTGTCCTGGGCCGGGCACTTCACCAGCTGGGAGGAAAAAATTCTGGGAAAAACACAGGGATTTTCCCCCAAATCCAGCAGAAAAGGGACTTGGGARCGGTTGGATTTCTCCCAGTCTKTGGTGTAAAAGGTRGGAATTTYCCCCCAAATCCAGCAGAAAATGGGGAGTTCGGAGCAGTTGAGATTCGTTCCTGGTTTTTCAGCCTGGCACTGGGATGGGCTCAGTGTGTGTGTGGGTGATCCCTAGAGATAGAAATCCYRGGATATTTTCTGGGAATGGCCTTGCCCTGGATGCTTCACCAGCYGAGAGGAAAAAATTCTGTGGAAAAATGTGGGGTTTTCCCCCCAAATCCAGGAAAAAAAAGAGTTGGGAGYRGTGGKATTTATTCCTGKTTTTCAGCATAAAATGCRGGAATTTTCCCCYGAATCCAGTGGAAAATGAGGAATTGAGAGCTGTGGATTTGTCCCGGTTTTCAGCGAGGCAC